CTGGGCTCAAGAGATCCTTCCACCTCAGGCTTCCAAGTAGCCAGGACTACAGGCGCATGCCACTTGTAACGGCAGGCTTTCTCTCTCTCTCTTTTTTTTTTGAGATGAAGTCTTGCTCTGTCGCCCAGGCTGAGGTGCAGTGGCGCGATTTCTGCTCACTGCAACCTCTACCTCTCAGGTTCAGTCCATTCTGCCTCAGTCTCCCGAATAGCTGGGATTACAGGTGCACAGCACCAAACCCAGCTAATTTTTGTAGCTTTCTCTCTTTTTTAGAGAAAAGCAGTGGTAAAGAGAAAGTAAAAATATGGTTAAAAAATAAGATCGGCTGGGCGCAGTGCCTCATACCTGTAATTCCAGTACTTTGGGAGGCCGAGGTGGGCAGATTACTTGAGGTCAGGAGTTCGACACCAATCTGGCCAATATGATGAAACCCCATCTCTACTAACAACAACAAAAAAATTAGCTGGGCATGGTGGCACACGCCTGTAATCCCAGCTACTTGGGAGGCTGAGGTAGGAGAATCACTTGAACCTGAGAGGTGGAAGTTGCAGTGAGTCAAGATTGTGCCACTGCACTCCAGCCTGGGCATCAGAGTCAGAGTCTGTCTTCCAAAAAAAAAAAAAATCAGGGCCAGGTGCAGTGGCTCACGCCTGTAATCCCAGCACTGTGGGAAGCTGTGGTGAGCAGATCACTTGAGCTCAGGGGTTTGAGACCACCCTAAGCAACATGGTGAAACCCCGTATCTACAAAAAATACAAAAATTAGCTGGGTGTGGTAGTGTCTCCTGTAATCCCAGCTGCTCAGGAGGCTGAGGTGAGAGGGTCGCTTGAACCTGTGAGGTGGAGGTTGCAGTGAGCTGAGATTGCACCACTGCACTTCAACCTGGGCAACACAGCGAGGCCTTGTCTTAAAAAGAAGGGGAGAACTGGGGAGGGGAGTGAGAAAGAAAATAGGTCCAGTGCAGTGGCTCACGCCTGTAATCCCAGCACTTTGGGAGGCCAAGAAGGGTGGATCACGAGGTCAGGAGATTGAGACCATCCTGGGTAACATGGTGAAACTCTGTCTCTATAAAAATACAAAAAATTACGCAGGCGTGGTGACGGGCGCCTGTAGTCCCAGCTACTCAGGAGGCTGAGGTGAGAGGGTCGCTTGGACCTGAGAGGTGGAGGTTGCAGTGAGCCGAGATCGTGCCATTGCATTCCAGCCTGGGCAACAGAACGAGATTCTGTCTCCAAAAAAACAGAAAGAAAGAAAGAAAAATAAACCTTAAAAAAAAAAATCAGAAAATCTTAGAAGGAAAGAGCAGGAATGTTTACATAGGAAGTCAGGGAGATCTGGAAGGAGGGGGTTGCTAGCAGACCTGGGCATCTAATGAGAGTGGGTCTAGAGACTGTCACAGTCCAGCCAGTATCACAGGTTTCTCTGGCTTCAGCAGCTCTAAGCCTTCCAGAAACTTCAGCAGGGACTGACTGGGATAAATAACAAAATAGTGCCTTCAAGAGTATAAGCTCCCTTCTAATTACTAGGCCCTAAGCACCCTCAAAAAACTAAATACTATGTCTCTTGATTCAAGTACACCCACTTGCTCCTCCCTTATGCACGGACTCCCTTCACATTCACATCTCTGGCTTCATTGTTGATGCCTGAAATTCCTTTAAACAAGGGGAGAAAACATTTCATTCCCCAGTCAAAAGAAAAAAATGACAAAAATGCAAAAGGCTGGCTACGATCATACTGAGTTTAACTGAATTTCAGTTAATCACCCTGCCAAGTGGGGCCCGGGGATGCATCTCTAGGAGAGGCCAGACAGACTAAGAGTTTATTGAGACCTACTGTGTCTTTCACAGTATGGTCAGCAGAGGTGAATTTAAATCAATTTGTATAAGTTCCAATGTCTTAATAAATATTTACTGAATGACCTAAGAAATAAACCTAACTATGCAATCCATCAGACATTACCATGTGTCCAAGGAGGAAGAATTTAAAAAGCAGGAGAGCATCAGATCAAGGGGTAAAAGGTCATCAGAGGTAAAAGTTAAAGAGCTAAGGACACAGTAATGGAGAAACTGTAGACTTCAATACCAACTAGAATCATATTAACTCTCCCATGAAAAAGATGAAAAAGAAGCAATACAGACCAGTCTGGAGTTGAACTGCCTGGATTTAAACCCTAGTTTTGGCATTTACTAGCTGTGTGACACTGGGTAAATAACTTCTCTGTGCCTCAGTTTCCTCATCCCTAAAATAAATACGTCTATCTCACTGGGTTTCTATGAAAATCAAATGAGTTAATACAAGTAAAATACTTAAGACAGTACATGACACACAGTAAATATTGTTTAAATATTAACTGCAATTATTATTATTATTTTCAAGACAGAGTCTCGCTCTGTTGCCCAAGCTGGAGTGCAGTGGTGCGATCTCGGCTCACTGCAAGCTCTGCCTCCCAGGTTCACGCCATTCTCCTGCCTCAGCCTCCTGAGTAGCTGGGACTACAGGTGCCTGCCACCATGCCTGGCTAATTTATTTTTGCATTTTTAGTAGAGAAGGGGTTTCACCGTGTTAGCCAGGATGGTCTCGATCTCCTGACCTCGTGATCTGCCTGCCTCAGCCTCCCAAAGTGCTGGGATTACAGGCGTGAGCCACCGCGCCCGGCCATTAACTGCAATTATCATCATCATCATCATTATTGCAGTCTGAGATATCTGGCCTGAATTTATCAAGGTAGGAAGCTCTGTCATTGCACAGAAATACCTTGTTCTCAGGAGAGTCACTAATGGAAGTGCTTCTGTAAACAAGGGACATAAGCAGAGAACGGGTACAGAAAACTCATGATTACCTGGGGAATAATTCAATATATTTTAGGTATTCGTCTTTTTTTTTCTCTCTCTCTCTTTGTTGGTATTTTTCTGGTTACTGAGTCATTCTTCATTAAGGGGTGAGAAGAGGTGTCAAAAATTAGACAAAACATAAACTAGTATATTCTGACAACTGCTGACAATTCAAATTACTTAGCTGGAGAGGAATACAGCAACATTGGCTTAAATAAAATATTCAGATATTCTCCATGCCTTAAATAATAAGGCCCTGAGAACAAGAGGAACTTGGGTCAAGCATTCACAATAAAATCCCATCTCAAGACTTAAAACTTAGAGAAGAGCTTGTTACACTAAGGTGAGTATGGTGAAAATCAGCCAAACTTTACTTCTCTAAGTCAAAACTGGTCTATGGTTTCTACAAAGAGCTATTTAGAAACGTGACTATAAAGAATACATTTCAGATAACATGAAAACAAAAAAAAGAAACTTTTCCATTACAGAAAGAAATGGGTAGAGAAACAACATTAATCAGTGGTAAGGGAGGCTTGCTTTCAGTTTTACTTTACAGAGTAGCATATACATAATATGTTTACAGCATTGTCTCTTACAAAGACTTGCTGTTAATGACTCACAAAGGACAAAATAAATTCTTGGCCGGTAAATTTTTTGCTTTTTTCTTTGAGCGGGAATCTCACACTGTCACCCAGGCTGGAGAGCAGTGCCACAATCTCTGCTCACTGCAACCTCCGCCTCCCGGCTTCAAGTGACTCTCCTGCCTCGGCCTCCCAAGTAGCTGGGACTACAGGCGCCCGCCACCACACCCAGTTAATTTTTAGTATTTTTAGTAGAGACAGGGTTTCACTATGTTGGCCAGGATGGTCTCGATCTCCTGACCTTGTGATCTGCCCACCTCACCCTCCCAAAGTGCTGGGATTACAGGCATGAGCCACCGTGACCGGCCCTTTTTTTTTTTTTTTTGAGATGGAGTCTCACTGTCACCCAGGCTGGAGTACAGTGGCGCGATCTCAGCTCACTGTAACCTCCGCCTCCCAGGTTCAAGCAATTCTCATGCCTCAGCCTCCTGAGTAGCTGTTATTATAGGTGTACGCCACCACACCTGGCTAATTTTTTTTTTTTTTTTTTTGAGACGGAATTTCACCCTGTTGCCAGGCTGAAGTACAGTGGCTCACTGCAACTTTTGCCTCCCGGGTTCAAGTGAGTCTCCTGCCTCACCCTCCCTAGTTGCTGGGATTATAGGCGTGTGCTACCACACACAGCTAATTTTTGTATTTTTAGTAGAGATGGGGATTCACCATGTTGGCCAGGATGGTCTTGATCTCCTAAGCTTGTGATCCACCCGCCTCACCCTCCCAAAGTGCTGGGATTACAGGTGTGAGCCACTGCGCCTGGCCTAATATTTGTATTTTTAGTAAAGACGGGGTTTCACCATGTTGGTCAGGCCGGCCTCGAACTCCTGACCACAAGTGATCCGTCCGCCTTGGCTTCCCAAAGTGTTGGGATTACAAGCGTGAGCCACTGCATCCGGCCTCTTGGCCTCTAAATTTTTAAGATTGACTTTTTAATTGTGTGTGTGAGTGTGTGTGTTTGAGACAGAGTTTCATTCTTGTTGCCCAGGCTGGAGTGCAATGGCATGATCTCGGCTCACTGCAACCTTAGCCTCCTGGGTTCAAGCGATTCACGTGCCTCAGCCTCCCGAGTAGCTGGGATTACAGGCATACGTGCCACCATGCCCGGCTAATTTTGTATTTTTAGTAGAGACGGGGTTTCTCCATGTTGATCAGGCTGATCTCGAACTCTCAACCTCAGGTAATCCACCCGCCTCGGCCTCCCAAAATGCTGGGATTACAGGTGTGAACCACCGTGCCCAGCCTAAGATTGACTTTTGAGAGATATTCTACTTACCTCTACTTACCAAGAAGAAGAGAGATATAAACATATTAAATATCAAGCATTTTATATACATTTCCCAGTTAATCTACGTAATAACCCTATGAATACAGATGAGAAAACTACAGCTGCAGGATATAAAGAAGCCTTCCCACAGTAACACTGCCTATAAATGATGGAATAAATTCAGGATGTTTTAAATTCAAAGCTCATGTATGCTGTGCACTTCACTCTGCTTCCTGAAGCAGGTAAGATGTTTTAATATCTACTTGCCTGAATGTTAATGTCTGTCCACAGAAATAAGTCGGAGCTCTGGAGTAGAGAACACCTGATGATTCAGAATCGTTCCGGAGTGCTATATTTCTTCGACTGCTCAGACTGTATCCCTCAAAACCAGCTGTCCACTCTTTTTAAAAGCAAAAATATTGAAAACTGTTAGAATCTCTTGAGGGATATCTTCAATACAGACATGTTAAATAAAACGTGGAAATGGGAGACTACTCTTAGGGACCATGGTCAAGTTCAATAAAATAAAAGATTCTGTTAACAGGGTATCATGATCAGTCCCACAAATTACAAAAAAGATTTTAGTATATTCCTGCATAATTCTGACATAATAAATCAAATAAGTGTTATCTCTTATCTAATAAAATCATAGTTCAAGCATAATTGCTTGAACTTATTTCAACCTGATAAAAATCTAATTAATAAATGAGTCTACATCTTCTAAACAAGAATGCAGGAGAGAGATCAATTTCAAATCATAAGACTTTTTTTTGAGTCTCGCTCTGTCACCCAGGCTGGAATGCAGTGGCGCGATCTCGGCTCACTGCAAGCTCCATCTCCCGAGTTCATTCATTCTCCTGCTTCAGCCTCCCCAGTAGCTGGGATTACAGGCGCCCGCCACCACGCCTGTCTAACTTTTTGTATTTTTAGTAGAGACGGGGTTTCACCGTGTTAGCCAGGATGGTCTCGAACCGTAAGAAGCCAGGATGGTCTCGATCTCCTAATCTTGTGATCCGCTCTGCCTTGGCCTCCCGAAAGTGCTGGGATTACAGGCTTGATTTCACCACGCCTGGCCCTGAAATCTAGACTTCTAAGAAAATGTCTCTCCAGGTATTTCTTTTTTTTTTTTTTTTTTTTTTTGAGACGGAGTCTCATGCCTGCCGCCAGGCTGGGAGTGCAGTGGCCGGATCTCAGCTCACCGTGCCCTCCCAGGTTTACGCGATTCTCCTGCCTCAGCCTCCCGAGTAGCTGGGACTACAGGCGCCCATCCTTGGCCCCGGCCAGCTTGCAGGGCCAGCGTAGAGACGGGGTTTCACCGTGTTAGCCAGGATGGTCTCGATCTCCTGACCTCGTGATCCGCCCGTCTCGGCCTCCCAAAGTGCTGGGATTACAGGCTTGAGCCACCGCGCCCGGCCGGTATTTCTTGAGGGTTTGGAAAATCAGCATCAGATGGGCACAGTGGCTCACGCCTATAATCCCAGGACTTTGGGAGGCCACGGCAAGAGGACTGCTTGAGCCCAGGAATTTGAGACCAGCCTGGGCAACATAGCAAGACCTGGTCTCTACAAAAAAAAAAAAAAAAAAAATTAGCCAGGTATGGTGGTGCATGCAGGTGGTCCTGGCTACTTGGGAGGCTGAGGCAGAAGGATCCAGAGGTCAGGCTGCATGATTGCACCACCACACGCCAGCCTGGGCGACAGAGGTGAGATCTTGTCTCAAAAAAAACTAACTAAATAAAAGTAAAATATAAAAAAAAGAAGACGAATAAAAAGGAGTATCAGTGTCCTACACAATATTTTCAATCTTTGGTTTTTAGTGAGGCTAAAAATCTGGTCCAGCATTTTTTTTTTGGTCTCTGAAGAACTGATGAAAACAAAAATCGCATGAGGTAATCTGAGTAAAATACAAGGTGCATGTTGTTCTTATCAATTCAGGATCTATGCTTAGAATAGCTGGTTGTCAGTGTGCTGCCCTTAGCACAGAATACAGGTATTCTAATATACAGTTAGGCTTCAGGAGAGAAAAGGTTAGCAGCATACCATGAGGCACCAATGTGGAATGACCTATTTGGGGAACACTCCAAGGACTCCACTCCTGTCGGCCATCTCCTCGGGCACAGACTCTGAACTGATAATCAACGTTGGGGTCTATGTGCAATACTATGAATTCAGTTTCAGAACCTACATATACATCCTCAAAATGATTTGAAGTACATTTACGAAACTGGAGCCTGTAATCTTGGGCTGTAAAGTCGTCATCCACCTAAGGAGAAAAGCTTTATGTTAGCTGAGAAACAGAAAATGACTTCTCTCAGCCATCACTGCTTAAAAACTTTGAATGGAGCCATTTTGGACCAAGCAGCCAGGCCCACGTGCTGAATATGGGGTATTCTTGGGAAGGCCATAGAAAATATGCCATCACATCATTATCGCTTTTTTTTTTTTTTTTTGAGGCAGGGTCTCACTTGGTCACCCAGGCTGGAGTGCAATGGCATGATCTCGGCTTATTGCAGCCTCCATACCCTGGGTTCAAGCCATCCTCCTCCTTCAACCCCCTAACTAGCTGGCTGGGACTTCTGGTGCACACCACCATGTCCGGCTAGTTTTCTGTATTTTTTGTAGAGATGGGTTTTCACCATATCTCAGATCTTTAATTCCTGAGCTTAAGCAATCTTCCCGTCTCAGCCTCTCAAAGTGCTAGGATTACAGGCGTGAGTCACTGCGCCTGAGCACCCTTCTTTTCTTTATTGAACCATGTGTTCTACATTTCCCAGACTGATATAAAAAAGTCTGCCTCCTTTGACGAAATGGCATGTTTTTTAATCAATGCAAAGATAAAACATTCAAGATTCAATGATACGTTTCCCAAAACCATACATCATTCATAATAACCAAGACATAATTAACATAGAGTATACAGAATCCCCATTAATTTTTAGGGGTCCTGCATATATTCTGTATGTTAATTAGCCACCAACAGAAAAATGGGTAAAAGATATAAGTATTCTATAGGAGAAGACATATAAATAGCCAAAAATATAAATTATAAATATTCAACCTAATTTGTAATATGGCAAATACAATCTAAAACCACAACAAGGCCAGACATGGTGGCTCATGCCTATAATCCTAAGACTTTGGGAGGCCGAAGCGGATGGAGCACTTGAGCCCAGGAATTTGAGGCCAGCCTGGGCAACATGGCAAAACTCCATCTCTACAAAAAATTACAAAACTTAGCTGGGTATGGAAGCACATGCCTGATGTCCCAGTTACTTGAGGACTGAGGCAGGAGGATCACTTGAGCCCAGGAGGTTGAGACTGGAGTGAGACATGATTGTGCCACCGTACTCCAGCCTGGGTGACAGAGTAAGACCCTGTCTCAAAAACAAACAAATAAATAAATAAAACCACAACAAGGTACATTTAGGCAAAAATATAAAGTCTCACAATGCCAATTATTGGTCAAGATATGGAATAACAGAAACTCATATACTGTTTGGAAGGCTAAATTGATACAATCATCTTGTGGAAAGTTTGTTATTACCTATTAGTGTATGGACCCAATACTCTAAGAAGACCTCATAATTTTACAGCTAGGTAAATACTAATATTTTACAAACTTCACATATGTTCATAAGGAAACACAAGTAAAAATACTTATAGCAAAAACCTGGAAATAACTAGGTCCACTGATAGGAAAATTAATAAAAATGGAAAAAGAGTCCTGTTATGAAATAACAGCATGTTTACAAAAAAAAAAAAAAAATTCCTTTTAAGAAAATCTTGGCTGGGCACGGTGGCTCACACTTGTAATCCCAGCACTTTGGGAGACCAAGGCAGGTGGATCACCTGAGGTCAGGAGTTTGAGACCAGTCTGACCAACACGGAGGAACCCCATCTCTACTAAAAATACAAACTTAATCAGGCGTGGTGGCGCATGCCTTAATCCCAGCTACTCAGGAGGCTGAGGCAGGAGGATCGCTTGAACCTGGGAGGCGGAGGTTGTGATGAGCCAAGATCATGCCATTGCACTCCAGCCTGAGCAACAAGAATGAAACTCCGTCTCAAAAGAAAAAAAAAAAAAAAAAGAAAATGTCAGCCAGGCACAGTGGCTCATGCCTGTAATCCCAGCACTTTGGGAGGCCAAGGTGGGTAGATCACTTGAGATTTAAGGAGTTCGAGGCCAACATGGCAAAACCGTGTCTCGATTAAAAATACAAAAAATTAGGCCGGGCGTGGTGGCTCAAGCCTGTAATCCCAGCACTTTGGGAGGCCGAGGCGGGCAGATCACGAGGTCAGGAGATCGAGACCATCCTGGCTAACACGGTGAAACCCCATCTCTACTAAAAAACACAAAAAACTAGCCAGGCGAGGTGGCGTGCACCTGTAGTCCCAGTTACTTGGGAGGCTGAGGCAGGAGAATGGCATAAACCCGGGAGGCAGAGCTTGCAGTGAGCTGAGATCCGGCCACTGCACTCCAGCCTGGGCGACAGAGCAAGACTCTGTCTCAAAAAAAAAAAAAAATACAGAAAATTAGCTGGGTGTAGTGCCGGTAGTCCTAGCTACTGAACCTGGGTGGGTGGGGAGAGGGAATGGTGTGGAGGTTGCAGTGAGCCAAGGTTGCATCGCTGCACTCCAGCATGGGCAACAGAGCAAGGCTTCATTTCAATAAAAAAGGCCAGGCATGGTGGCTCACACCTACAATCCCAGCACTTTGGGTGGCCGAGGCGAGTGGATCACCTGAGGTCAGGAGTTCAAGACCAGCCTAGCCAACATGGTGAAACCTCGTCTCTACAAAAAATACAAAAATTAGCCAGGTGTGGTGGCAGGGGCCTATAATCCCAGCTATTCAGGAGGCTGAAGCAGGAGAATGGCTTGAACCTGGGGGAAGCGGCAGGCGGGGAAGGGCATGGAGGTTGCAATCAGCCGAGATCACGCCACGCCACTTCACTCCAGCCTGGGCAAAAGAGCGAAACTCTGTCTCAAAAAAATAAATAAATAAAAATAAAACTGGAAGAACTATCTCAGTGTTCCCTATGACTTCATTTTACTGTAAAGTAAAAGAGATTTTTGTTTGGGAAGAAAAGAATGTATTTAAAAGTAGTCAATGAAAAAATCTGAAAGGCCCTCAAATCTCAAACCCATAATGTGGAAGTTATTTCTAGAATTCTGAATTACATACCTTACACCATCGTACAATGATGCCTCCAGGTTTCTCTATTAGTTCTTCTATCTGTACTGGTGGGCGAGATGCTACTGTTCCATGCTTAAAAATGTGGTCTTTCACTATGTTAAGAATTGAGTCATCCAACTGAGCAGATAAACAAGGCACATCAACCAGTAAAGGTACTTCTGGTAAGCTGAGGAAACAAAGCTCATGTGTTATGAGACCTCTGAGAGTTAAAAAATACAAGAAATAAAAAAAAATTGATTGTAGTGGTGGTTACACAATTCCATGAATATAATAAAAACCACTGAATTGCATATGTCAAATGGGTGAATTGTATGGTCTATGAATTTATATCTTAATAAAACTGTTTTAAAAAGTTAAAAAAAAAAAATTTTAGAGCAGTCACAAGCTTGAAAGATCCTGAAGCCCCCAGTAAGTAATTCTTATGGCAGTAGGGGATTTGCAAGATGTTACCCAAAGATTCTCTTTTCAAATAAATATAAGCAAGACAGAAAATTGGTAGGATCATAACTGTCCATTTTATGCCAAACGATCTGGTTTACTGGAATATGACTCCGTTTCAACAATACATTGAGAATTTCTAAAATTTAACAATTCTTTTACACATTGGATTGAAAAAATCTGTAGTAATACTATACCAAGGATTACAATCACAACTATTTCATTAGTAACAGTGGTAATGGGCAGTGAAACGCTTTTTTTTTTTTTTCCCTCAGAGTCTCACTCTGTCCCCCACCCTAGGCTGGAGCGCTGTGGTGCGAACTAAGCTCACTGCAACCTCCACCTCCCCGATTCAAGCGATTCTCCTGCCTCAGCCTCCTGAGTAGCTGGGACTACTACTCATGCCACCACACCTGGATAATTTTTTATTTTATTTTATATTTATTTTGAGATGGAGTCTTGCTCTGTTGCCCAATATGGAGTGTAGTGGTGCAATCTTGGCTCACTGCAACATCTGCCTCCAGGGTTCAAGCAATTCTCCTGTCTCAGCCTCCCCAAGTAGCTGGATTACAGGCATGCGCCACCATGCCCGCCTAATTTTTGTATTTTCAGTAGAGACGGGGTTTCAACAAGTTGGCCAGGCTGGTCTCAAACTCCTGGCCTCAAGCGATCTGCCTGCCTTGGCCTCCCAACATGCTGGGATTACAGGTGTAAACCACCATGCCCAGCCTGAAAACCTTGAAATATATATTTTCTATTTCCCTTAATCAGAATCTTGAACAGAGGGCGGAAAAAAGCAGACATAGTTTAAATGCTTAAAAGTAAGTCCAAATGGCACAACTCTTTTACCTGTCCAACTGAATGTGCGAGGCCTTTTTGGTAAAGCTCCACAGTTTCTCATTCTCTTCTCCCACACCACCAAGCATGGCAATCTCACCTACAATCAAGAATAAGAGAACTGGAACAGTGAAAATGGTCACATATAAAGTAATCAACACAACTCATGTCTGGGTGGGTCTCTAGTGTTCTTGAAAACAGTTCTTAAATGATGCCACAGTCAAATTCCCAAAAAGTTAAAGTAGAAACTATTTTAGAAGTGACTCTAAGATCAAATCCAAGAGGAAAAGGGATACAGAGTGACAACATTTTGCCAGAGATGAAAAATCTATCTGCTCTATACAAGGAAATCAACCAATTTTAGGCAAACCAGAAAGCCCAGGGACTTCTTCCCATCTCTCCTATAGAATCATTATGAACTTCAATAGGAGCCAGTATAAAATACTGCCCTGAGAGGAGCAATAGGTGATAGGGTTGTGTTTTTTTGTTTGTTTGTTTTTGAGACTGGGTCACGTTCTGTCACTCAGGTAGGAGTGCAGTGGTAGGATCATAACTCACTGCAGCCTCGAACTTCTGGGCTCAAGCAATCCTCCCATCTCAGCCTCCCAAGTAGCTGTGACCACAGCTGCACGCCACCATGCCCAGCTATTTTGTTTTTTTTTTTTTGGTAGAGATGAGGTCCCACTATGTTGCCCAGGCTGGGCATAGGGCTTGAAAAGCCAAATGATGCATCTATGTTTTCCTAAAAGAGTATCATACATCAGATTACAAATTATTCAACAGTGGCCGGGCGCGGTGGCTCACGCCTGTAATCCCAGCACTTTGGGAGGCCGAGACGGGCGGATCACGAGGTCAGAAGATCGAGACCATCCTGGCTAACACGGTGAAACCCCGTCTCTACTAAAACTACAAAAAAACTAGCCGGGCGAGGTGGCGGGCGCCTGTAGTCTCAGCTACTCGGGAGGCTGAGGCAGGAGAATGGCATAAACTCGGGAGGCGGAGCTTGCAGTGAGCTGAGATCCGACCACTGCACTCCAGCCTGGGCGACAGAGCGAGACTCCGTCTCAAAAAAAAAAAAAAAAACAAAAAAACAAAAACAAAAACAAATTATTCAACAGAATAATAAACAGAAAATTTCAGGCCAGGTGCGGCGGCTCACGCCTGTAATCCCAGCACTTTGGGAGGCCAAGGTGGGTAGATCACAAGGTCAGGAGATCGAGATCATCCTGGCCAACATGGTGAAACCACGTCTCTACTAAAAATACAAAAATTAGTCGGGTGTGGCGGTGGGCACCTGTACTCCCAGCTACTCAGGAGGCTGAGGCAGGAGAATCGCTTGAATCTGGGATGTGGAGGTTGCAGTGAGTCGAAATCACGCCACTGCACTCCAGCCTGGGCGACAGAGCGAGACTCTGTCTCAAAAAAAAAAAAAAAAAAGTTACATAGAGGCATATGATATGAAAATGACCAACTTCTATGTCCTTCCACAGCTCTGAAGAACACTGTCATAACTCTTTTCCATCTGAATGTGCCCTGTAGTTACTCAAGTTTTTTGAGACCATATGTCCTTCTCCTTCACCAAAAGAAAAACAGAGACATGGCCGGGTACTGTGGCTCATGCCTGTAATCTCAGCACTTTGGCAGGCTGAGGCTGGCTGGTCACCTTGGGTTGGGAGTTCAAGACTAGCTTGGCCAGCATGGTGAAACCCCATCTCTACTAAAAATACAAAAAGTAGCTGGGCATAGTGGCACGCTCCTGTAGTCCCAGCTACTAAGGAGGCTGAAGCACTAGAATTGCTTGAACCTGGGAGGTGGAGGTTGCAGTGAGCCAAGATCGCGTCACTGCACTCCAGCCTGGGCAATATGTGAGACTCTGTCTCAAAAATAAATAAATAAATACAATTCTCAAAATTCCATAAATAAGTTTCTATCCCTCAGGAGAACTGGAAAGAGTTTGACATTAAAAATATTCCTGAAGTTTCCTTCCGCTGCTGGGATGTATAATAATTTTTTTAAATTAAAAAACATAGGCCAGGCGGCCGGGCGCGATGGCTCACGCCTGTAATCCCAGCATTTTGGGAGGCCGAGGCGGGCGGATCACAAGGTCAGGAGATCGAGACCACGGTGAAACCCCGTCTCTACTAAAAATACAAAAAATTAGCCGGGCGAGGTGGTGGGCGCCTGTAGTCCCAGCTACTCAGGAGGCTGAGGCAGGAGAATGGGGGAACCCGGGAGGCGGAGCTTGAGGTGAGCCGAGATTGCGTCACTGCACTCCAGCCTGGGTGACAGAGCGAGACTCCGTCTCAAAAAAAAAAAAACATAGGCCAGGCATGGTGGCTCACGCTTGTAATCCCAACACTTTGGGAGGCCAAGGTGGGCGAATCACGAGGTCAGGAGTTCTAGACCAGCCAGGGCAACAGGTGAAACTCTGTCTCTATTAAAAATACAAAAAATTAGCTGGGCGTGGCAGTGGGTGCCTATAATCCCAGCTACTCGGAAGGCTGAGGCAGGAGAATCGCTTGAACCCATGAGGCGGAGGCTGCAGCAAGCCAAGATCGTGCCACTGCACTCCAGCCCAGGCAACAGTGCAAGGCTCCCTCTCAAAAATAAATAAATAATTAAATTAAATTTTGGACATACAAAAATATTCAAGTATCAAATGCTGTAACAATCACACTGCTCCAAAGGATTTTTTCTTTTTGAGACAGAGTCTGACTCTGTCACCCAGGCTGGAGTGTGATGTGTAATTACAGCTCACTACAGCCTCAAACTCCTGGGCTCAGGGGATCCTCCCGCCTCAGCCTCCCAAGTAGCTAGGACTACAGGAATGTGCCACTATGCCCAGCTAGGATTTATCTTTTTTTTTTTTTTTTTTTTGAGACGGAATCTCACTCTTGTCGCCCAGGCTGGAGTGTAATGGTGCAATTTTGGCTCACTGCAACCTCTTGCCTCAGCCTCCTGGGTAGCTGGGATTACAGGCGCCCACCACCATGCCCGGCTAATTTTTGTATTTTTAGTAGAGACAGGGTTTCACCATGTTGGCCAGGCTGGTCTCGAACTCCTAATCTTAGATGATCCGCCCACCTCAGCCTCCCAAAGTGTTGTGATTACAGGCATGAGCCACTGTGCCCGGCCAGGATTTATCTTCTTTTTTTTTTTTTTTTTTTTTGAGACGGAGTCTTGCTCTGTAGCCCGGGCTGGACTGCAGTGGCCGGATCTCAGCTCACTGCAAGCTCCGCCTCCCGGGTTTACGCCATTCTCCTGCCTCAGCCTCCGGAGTAGCTGGGACTACAGGCGCCCGCCACCTCACCCGGCTAGTTTTTTGTATTTTTTTTAGTAGAGACGGGGTTTCACCGTGTTAGCCAGGATGGTCTCGATCTCCTGACCTCGTGATCCGCCCGTCTCAGCCTCCCAAAGTGCTGGGATTACAGGCTTGAGCCACCGCACCCGGCCTCTAAAATAAAAACAAATGATCAGTCCTCAGGGGATGAGTATACACTCCTGGCCCATGCTGCACTGCTTCTGGGTTTGTTTCCAAATGCAAAGCCACCAAGGAAAGACATTCCATGGTACTGCTAGAATTTTCTCAAAAGCACTGTTATGGTCAGTGGCAAATAAACACTTCTCATTGAAGATAAGACAAAAATGTAACTAGCAATGTCAAGATAACACTCGTACTATATTCTAAGTGGGACCAAAAGAAGATTAACTTCCAGGTGGAGTAACAGCCTTGTGAATCATCCACACTTTTTTCCCACACTCCCAGCACTCATTCTGCAGAAGGGATGGAATTCAGTCTCCTTCCCCAGCTCCTTTTTCCTCAAATGACCTTTAAATGTTGGTGCCCCTTAGTGTTCTAATCTCTTTCACCTGCTCTTCTCACATTACACGGTGTCCCTTGATGATTGTACTTATTCCAATGGATTCATATTTGATATATATACCATTAACTGCCATACTGACATCTCCTGGTATGATCTCTCTCCTAAGAATCATACCCATATTTCCATCTTAAGCACCTCAAACTCACCATGCCCAAGCCAAATGCCTGACTATGTACTAAGCACCCACCTCCTCCTTCATTTACTGTGTCAAAAACAGCACCACCATTTATTCAGAATCCAAAAGTAGGCTGATTTTTGCCATCACAAATCCTTCCCTTTCCCCTCCATCACATATGTAGGTAATCATCTGCAGACAACAGTCACTGCTCAGTAAAATCATCAATAATTCCATTTCTGGGGAAAAAAAATCTTTTTTTTTTGTTTTTATTTTTAAGAGACAGGGTCTTGCTCTGTTGCCCAGGCTGGAGTGCAGTGGTGCAATCATAGCTCAAGCTCTCCTCCCACCTCAGCCTCCTGAATAGTTGGGACAATAGTTGGTGTATGCCACTATGCCTGGCTAATTTTTTTTTTCTTTTTGAGACAGAGTCTTGCTCTGTTGCCCAGGCTAGAGTGCCATGGCGCAATCTCAGCTCACTGCAATCTCCGCCTCCTGGGTTCACGCCATTCTCCTGCCTCAGCCTCCCAAGTAGCTTGGACTACAGGCGCCTGCCACCACGCCCAGCTAATTTCTTGTATTTTTAGTAGAGACGGGGCTTCACCGTGTTAGCCAGGATGGTCTCGATCTCCTGACCTCGTGATCCACCCGCCTCGGCTTCCCAAAGTGCTGGGATTATAGCCGTGAGCCACTGTGCTCAGCCCGCCTGGCTAATTTTTATTTTATTTTAATTATTTTTATTTTTTTGAGACGGAGTCTCGCTCTGTCGCCCAGGCTGGAGTGCAGGGGCGCAATCTCGGCTCACCTCAAGCTCCGCCTCCCGGGTTCATGCCATTCTCCTGCCTCAGCCTCCCGAGTAGCTGGGACTACAGGCGCCCGCCACTGCGCCCGGCTAATTTTTTTCTATTTTTTAGTAGAGACGGGATTTCACCATGGTCTCGATCTCCTGACCTTGTGATCTGCCCGCCTCGGCCTCCCAAAGTGCTGGGATTACAGGCGTGAGCCACCGCGCCCAGCCTTTTTTTTTTTTTTGAGAGGGACCCTTGCTCTGTCGCCCAGGCTGGGGTGCAGTGACCGGATCTCAGCTCACTGCAAGCTCCGCCTCCTGGGTTTACGCCATTTTCCTGCCTCAGCCTCCCGAGTAGCTGGGACCACAGGCGCCCGCCTCACCCGGCTAGTTTTTGTACTTTTAGTAGAGACAGGGTTTCACCGTGTTAGCCCAGGATGGTCTCAAGTCTCCTGACCTCGTAGATCGCCGTCTTGGCCTCCCAAAGTGCTGGGATTACAGGCTTGAGCCTGCGCCCGGCCCCAGCTAATTTTTTTTTTTTTTTTTTTTTTTTGAGACGGAGTCTCGCTCCTGTCGCCCAGGCTGGAGTGCAGTGGCCGGATCTCAGCTCACTGCAAGCTCCGCCTCCCGGGTTCTCGCCATTCTCCTGCCTCAGCCCTGGGCGACAGAGCGAGACTCCGTCGCCCAGGCTGGAGTGCAGTGGCCGGATCTCAGCTCACTGCAAGCTCCGCCTCCCGGGTTCTCGCCATTCTCCTGCCTCAGCCTCCCGAGTAGCTGGGACTACAGACGCCCGCCACCACGCCCGGCCAGTTTTTTTTTTGTATTTTTTAGTAGAGACGGGGTTTCACCGAGTTAGCCAGGATGGTTTCGATCTCCTGACCTCGTGATCCGCCCGTCTCGGCCTCCCAAAGTGCTGGGATTACAGGCTTGAGCCACCGCGCCCGGCCTCCGGCCAGCTAATTTTTTTTAAAACAGTGGCCCATGCCTGTAATCCCAGCACTTTGGGAGCGTAGTGTTGCAATCTTGGCTCACTGCAACCTCTGTCTCCCAGGTTCAAGCGATTCTCCTGCCTCAGCCTCCCGAGTAACTGGAATTACAGGTACCTGCCACCACGCCTGGCCAATTTTTGTATTTTTAGTAGAGATGGGGTATTACCATGTTGGCCCGGCTAGTCTCAAACTCCTGACCTCAAATGATCCTCCCGTCTTGACATCCCAAAGTGCTGGGGTTATAGGTGTTAGCCTAGCCTCGGCCTTTAATAACTTTTTAATCAGTCTGTTTTCCCTCTAGTCTTACAATCTCTAACACAGTCTCCAAAACATAGGCGGATCATTTTTTTTTAATGCACATGTGATCATGTCACTCTGCTGCTTAAAATGCTTCAACAGAGGTGGGTGGATCACGAGGTCAGGAGATCAAGACCAGCCTGGCTAACACGGTGAAATCCTGTCTCTACTAAAAATACAAACAATTAGCCAGGCGTGGTGGTGGGCGCCTGTAGTCCCAGCTACTCGGGAGGCTGAGGCAGGAGAATGGCATGAACCTGGGAGGCGGAGCTTGCAGTGAGCAGAGATCACGCCACTGCACTCCAGCCTGGGCGACAGAGCGAGACTGTCTCAAAAAAAAACAAAAACAAAAAAAGCTTCAACTGATCCTTGAAAATGCCATTCACTTAATTTATGATGATGTTGCTTCTGCTTGGAATCATGCTGTTACCTCCTCTTTTTCCTATGTCTGCTTGATAGCCTCTGTGGAACTCCTCCTACAGAAAGCTATCCTATACTATTCCAGACAAAGTTAAGAACTTCCTCCTTTGTGCTCCAATAAGGTCTTAGATCTCTCTCAGCATGTATCTCTCTTTCACTGGGCTCTGAATCCCAAAGGAAAGAACTCTCACCTATTTTATTCTTTTCTTTTTTTTGAGAGGGAGTCTCACTCTGTCACCCAGGCTGGAGTGCAGTGGCACGATCTCAGCTAACTGCAACCTCTACCTCCTGGGTTCAAGCAATTCTCCTGCCTCAGCCTCCTGAGTAGCTGGGACTACAGGCACACGTTGCCATGGCCAGCTATTTCTGTATTTTCACTAGAGACGGGGTTTCACCATGTTGGCCAGGATGGTCTTGATCTCCTGACCTCATGATCTGCCCGCCTCGACCTCCCAAAGTGCTGGGATTACAGGCGTGAGTCACTGCACCTGGCTTCTATTCATACTCTTATTTTATATTTTTTTGGGACAAGGTCTCACTGTCACCCAGGCTGGAGTGCAGTGGTGCAATCACGGCTCACTGCAGCGTTAATCTCCTGGCCTCAAGCGATCCTCCCACCTCGGCCTCCTAAGTAGTTGGGACTCCAGGTGCATACCACCATGCCCAGCTAATTTTATTTTATTTTTTTTTGTAGAGACAGGCTATTGCCCAGGCTGGTCTTAAACTCCTGACCTCAAGTGATCCACTTGCTTCAGCCTCCGAAAGTGCTGGGATTACAGGCGTGAGCCACTGCATCTGGCCCCCTTGTTTATGTTATGTGCCTGACAAAGATCTCTGTTGAAGGAAGGTGAGTAGAATGAAGAAAGGAAGGCAGCAGGGCATGACTCAATTGGCTGAAGATAGGAGTAAACACCAATCACTTTTCTTAACTTTTTAAGCAGAACAGTGGAGACTATAATTATGGTGGCTCTCACCTGTAATCCCAGCACTTTGGGAGGCCAAGATTAGAAGACTGCTTGAGACCGGGAATTCAAGACCAGACTGGGCAACATGGCGAAACCCTGTCTCTACCAAAAATACAAAAATTAGCCAGGCATGGTGGCACGTGCCTGTAATCCCAACTATTTGGGAGGCTGAGGTGGGAGGATCACCTGAGCCAGGGAGGTCAAGACTGCAGTGAGCCCCGATAGCGCCACTGCACTCCAGCCTGGGCAACAGAGCAAGACCCCTGTGTCAAAAAAAAAAAAAAAGTATAATTTGATTGTTTGTAACACAGAGGATAAATGCTTGAGAGGATGGATGCCCTATTTTCCACAATGTGATTATTACACACTGCATGCCTATATCAAAACATCTCAATGTGCCCCATATCATTTATTCTTTCTTGTTTTATAACTAATTATAACTAACACTTCAACTGCACTTGCCATGGGATGCCTAACTGTATATCTGTCATCCTATATTACAAACTGCCTCTAGGTAAGAACATTCTAAGAACCCCACAGCTGGCAAGAAGCCTATTGCTATCCTAAGGAATCTGCAAAATGTCAATCTGAACGAACCACATTTAGTATGTGATACGGTTTGGCTCTGTGTCCCCACACAAATCTTATCTTGAATTGTACTCCCATAATTCCCATGTGTTGCAGGAGGGACCCGATGGGAGATAATTGAACCATGGGGGCAGTTTCTCCCATACTATTCTCAGTAGTGAATAACTTTCATGAGATCTAATGGTATTTTAAGAGGCAACCCCTTTCGCTTGGCTCTCATTCTCTTCTCTTGTCTGCCGCTATGTGAGACGTGACTTTCACCTTCTGCCATGATCCCCAGCCACATGGAACTGTAAGTTCATTAAACCTCTTTCTTTTGTAAATTGCCCAGTCTCGGGTATGTCTTTATCAGCAGTGTGAAAATGTACTAATGCACTAATGTAACAGGATCCCTGGTCTCCCACCTTCTCGGACTAAGTCTTCTGCAGTGTTGACTCCGTGTTCTATGAGCTTCTGGCAGTCATCTAGTGGTTTAATGGTCTCCTGTTCAATGGTGTCCACCTCTTGCAAAAGGGTCACCAATCGCTCATCCAGGAGCTTTCCAAGGGTTCCCTTTAAATCATTAAAATGCTGTTTGAGAACATCTCTTGTCTGTGATGCACTTTCTTTGATCTAAAAAGAAATAACAAAATACTCAAAATCAGAATCTTTAAAAAAGGCTAATCCATAGGTATAATTCACAATAATCTAAAAGCACTATATAACCATCATCTTCAATTTAGTAAAAAAAAGACTAATTGAAATTATATATATTTAAGGTGTGATATTTTGATACACATATACATAGTGAACTGTTATTGTAGTCAAGCTAATTAACATGTCCATCTCTTTACATGGTGACCTTTCTGTGTGGTGAGAACACTTATGATCTCTCCTAACACATTCCAAGTATACACGACAGCATTTTTTTTTTTTTTTAGACAGAGTCTCGCTCTGTCACCCAGGCTGGAGTGCAGTTGTACAATCTCTGCTCACTGCAAGCTCCACCTCCCGGATTCATGCCATTCTCCTGCCTCAGCCTCCAGAGTAGCTGGGACTACAGGCGCTCACCACCACACCTGGCTAATTTTTTGTATTTTTAGTAGAGACGGGGTTTCACCGCATTAGCCAGGCTGGTCTTGATCTCCTGACCTCGTGATCCACCCGCCTCGGCCTCCCAAAGTGCTGGGATTACAGGCGTGAGCCACTGCGCTCAGCCACACTACAGTATTATTAACTATTGTCCCTATCCTGTACTTGAGATCTCTAGAATTTATGCATATTAAATAACTGAAACTTTGTACCCTTTGACCAACATCTCCCCATCCCCAACTCCATCCCTAGCAAGCACCATTCTACTTTCTGCTTCTATGATTTCGACCTTTTTAGATTCTACATATAAATAAGATCATGTAATATGTTTATTTCTGTATCTGGCTTCTTTGACTTAGGATGAGGTCCTTCAGGTTCATCCATGCTGTCACAAATGACAGAATTTCCTTCTCTAGAATTTCTTCTTCTTTTTTTTTTTTTTTTTTGAGACGGAGTCTCGCTCTGTCGCCCAGGCTGGAGTGCAGTGGCCGGATCTCGGCTCACTGCAAGCTCCGCCTCCCGGGTTCACGCCATTCTCCTGCCTCAGCCTCCTAAGTAGCTGGGACTACAGGCGCCCGCCACCTCGCCCGGCTAGTTTTTTTTGTATTTTTTTAGTAGAGACGGGGTTTCACCGGGTTAGCCAGGATGGTCTCAATCTCCTGACCTCGTGATCCGCCCGTCTCGGCCTCCCAAAGTGCTGGGATTACAGGCTTGAGCCACCGCGCCCGGCCTTCCTTCTCTTTTAAGGTTGAATAGTATTCCATTGTATATATACATCTTCTATTCACTGATAAACCAAATGTGATTGATTTGCACAAACAGGCAGAAGTACACAGAACTGCCCTTCAAGTCAGATAGAATAAGCCAAATCTTGGTTTCATCATTGATAAATTATGTCAATTTGGTTATGTTAATTAAGTACTCTATGCCTCAATTTCCTTATTTGTCAAATGAGCATAATAATAGTTATTTCGGCTGGGCGCAGTGCCTCACGCCTGTAATCCCAGCACTTTGGGAGGCCAAGGAGGGCAGATCATTTGAGGACAGGAGTTCGAGACCAGCCTGGCCAATGTGGTGAAACCCTGTATCTACTAAAAATACAAAAATTAGCTGGACATGGAAGTGCGGGCCTGTAATCCCAGCTACTTGGGAGGCTGAGGCAGGAGAATTGCTTGAACCTGGGAGACGGAGGTTGCAGTGAGCAAAGATTGCATCACCGCACTCCAGCTGGGCAGCACAGTGAGACTCCATCTCAAAAAAAAGAAATAAATAATAGTTACTTCATGGAGTTGCTGTGAGGATAAAGTAAAATAAACTAGGTACTACAGTGGGTAAAATAAACAGCACATTGTTATACTCGATAAAAAGTTATAAATTATTATTATCCGTAAAAGGTGTTCTTGAAAAATTGTATGTTTCAATACTAAAAACTGTTTAATTATGAGGGGATTAAAATTCATTTTACTGAAAAGCAGCAAAGAAATGGTAGATTAAAAAGCCATGGTCAGCCGGGCACGGTGGCTCATGCCTGTAATCCCAGCACTGTGGGAGGCCGAGGCAGGTGGATCACGAGGTCAGGAGTTCAAGACCAGCCTAACATGGTGAAACCCTGTCTCTACTAAAAATACAAAAAAATTAGCTGAGCCCACTGGTGGTGCGTGCCTGTAATCCCAGCTACTTCGGACGCTGAGGCAGGAGAATCGGTTGAACCCAGGAGGCGAAGGCTGTAGTGAGCTGAGATTGCACCGTTGCACTCCAGCCTGGGCAACAGAGTGAGACTCCATCTCCCAAAAAAAAAAAAAAAAAAAAAGCAAGCCATGGTCAGGTGCAGTGGCTCACACCTATGATCCTTGCACTTTGAGAGGCTAAGGCAGGAGGATCACTTGAGCCCAGGAGTTTGAGACAAGCTTGGATAACATGGAGAAACCCTGTCTTTACAAATGATACAAAAATTAGCTGGGCATGGTGGCACATGTCTGTAGTCCCAGATACTTAGGAGGCTGAGGTGGGAGGATCACCTGAGCCCAGGGGGTCGAGGCTGCAGTAAGCTGTGACTGCACCACTGCACTCTAGCTTGGGTGACAGAGTGAGACCCTGTCTCTAAATAAAAATGAAAAGCCACAATACAAACAAACAAACAAACAAACAAAAACCTCATGGATAAAATGTCCTCATTTTGCTAAAAGAAAACCAAGAATTATTTAAAAACCCAAGAGGCCTGTAGGAGGCAGAGCTGGGACAATGACTTAATCCTTTTTGAATGACAGTGCTCTTTGTGAATCTAAATGAGAGGTTTATAAAGACTCTTCCTTTCAAATTTATTGAAAGAGAAGAAAAAATAAAGCCTCTTCCCCCCAAAATAAATAATCTATACCCTAAAAAATTATTCAATTTCAGAAGTTTACAAATTCCCTCAGAGCCAAACCATGGCTTGCCTGAAGCAGTGATTATGAAACCTCATTTGCAGAAGAATCATGTAGGCTACTTGTTATAATTCAGACTGCAGAGTTCCATCCCAGACCTACTGAACCAGAAAATGACAGGAGGGCCTAAAGGAGTGTATGGATGGAGTTCTCATTTTTTCCAAGCACACCTGTAATTCTGCAGCCCACAATTTGAGAAACACTGCCCTAAATCTACAGATCTCTGATTAAGAACCCATATTCTAGGGGATATGACAGGAAAATCTTCACGTCAAATATATTATGAAGACAAACAGGTTGTCTATACAGACACTAGATTTTTTCTTCTTTTATTTCCGAGACAGGGTCTCACTCTGTTCACAGGCCGGAGTGCAGTGGCATGATCCTGGCTCACTGCAGCCTTGAACTCCTGGGCTCAGGTGATCCTCCTGCCTCAGTCTTCTGAGCAGCTGATCTTATAGGCGCAGGCCACCACACTTGGCTAATTTTACTTTTTACTTTTTGTAGAGACGAGAGCTTGTTATGTTGCCCAAGCTGGTCTTGAACTCCTCGCTTCAAGCAATCCTACCACCTTGGCCTCCCAAAATGCTGAGATTACAGGAGTGATCCACTGCACCTGGATTTTTATTTTAAAGACCTCAGATAACAGGCCAGGCATGGTGGCTCAAGCCTGTAATCCCAGCACTTTGGGAGGCCAAGGTGGGAGGATCACCACTGCAACCTGACCTGGGCGACAGAGCAAGGCCCTCTTCTCAAAAACAATTCAGGTAACATACAATTCATTTTCTCTCACTTAATGAGAAAATTCTAACTATAAGTCACTCCAATAAGTTAAAGAAAAAACATACTTTGCTTTCCAGATATTATTATCTTAGTTTCATATGACATATTGTTTACTACTATAAGCCTTTTGTTAACTTTCTCTTACCAGGAAAGTTTAAAGTATAAGAAAACTCCACCAAGAAAGAACATATCAAATTATGAATAAAGAACAATATTTCAACAGTTGATAGAGAAATTTAAAACTTTCTATTTATTCTCTAAATTCTCTCTAAATTTAAAAAGCAGAATACAATATTGTTTCCCAGCAATGTTCACGACCATGTAAAAACAAAAAATGCCCATGCCCAAGGACTAAAACAGAAAAAGAGCAGTATCATTTACCGGGTGGGCAGATCATAGAAACAATTTTCTTTCCTTTTTTTTTTTTTTTTTTTGAGATGGACTTTCACTCTTGTGGCCCAGGCTAGAGTGCAGTGGCGCAATCTTGGCTCACTGCAACCTCTGCCTTCTGGGTTCAAGACATTCTTCTGGCTCAGTCTCCTGAGTAGCTGAGATTACAGGCACACGCCATCGCACCTGGCTAATTTTTGTATTTTTAGTAGAGACAGGGTTTTGCCATGTTGGCCAAGCTGGTCTCGAACTCCTGATCTCCGGTGATCCGCCCACCTTAGCCTCCCAAAGTGCTGGGATAAGGCGTGAGTCACCTCATCCAGCCCTTTTCTCTCCATTTGACATTAACACAATTATAATAATATCTGTACAGTTAGTAAAATAATTCTTTAAATCACAAAGAAAAATTCTATATTAATTGTTAACTAATTTCTGTAGTTACCAAAGAATTTCTGTGATGGGAGGCTGAGGCAGGAGAATGGCGTAAACCCGGGAGGCGGAGCTTGCAGTGAGCTGAGATCGGGCCACAGCACTCCAGCCCCCTGGGTGACAGAGCAAGACTCCGTCTCAAAAAAAAAACAAAAAACAAAAAAGGAATTTCTGTAAAATAAATCCAAGTAAAAATTTAAAAAAGAAAGAAAGAAAGGCCATAAACCCAAATTGCACTTGATTCAGCTCACCATTCAACTATGAGATATTTGCAAACTAGGCCCTCATCTACATAGCATCTGGCAAACAAATGCTGTTGAGTGAAAACGCAGTTAATCATGTGTGTTTCAAAGAACTTTCTAAAAGAACCAAAGAGAGAATACCTTATGATTTTAACACATCCCCTGGGATACTGTTAGAAATTCAGAATCTCAGGCCCCACCCAGAACTGCTAAATCAGAACGTGAATTTTTTTTCTTCCTCCTCCTCCCCTAGAAACTGTATTTTTTTTTTTTC